TCTCAAACTATGTTGTTAAGGGAATTCACTTAGGGTTTGAGTTTGTGATCAAAGGGCTTTATGTTTTATTGGTGTAGCTTGGCCTAAACTTGCTTTTCCTGTTGAGATTGAAAGTTGATCATTGATCCCGCGTCATCGGATGGTAGTGATTCGGTGTGGGGTGTAATAAGCTCAGTTGATGTAATATTCGGCACTCTCTTTTTGTTTATTACTATATTTAATTATATTGCTTTATATTCCCAAGCATAAAAATTGTGAATATTTTCTTTGTTTAAAGAAAATCGGTTTAATGATATTAAGGTTTTTAATATCTTGGATTTGTTAGTTTTATTTTATTTGAAATAAAATTTATTGTAATAAAAATACTTGTAAATAATCTTTACCAAAAAAACAAAAAAAAAAAAAAAAAGAAAAAAAAAGAAAAGAAAATGAGATAAAAAGAGAAAAAAAAAAAATTCTACGACACGATCACATTAATCTTTCAAATAGGTAATCATGGCGACATAGCTAACCAAGCCAACCACTTGACCTTAAAAAAGATAGCATAACCTACAAAAGTTTAAAATAAGGTTTAAAAATTTCCTGCCTTCTAACGAAATCCCAAGCCTTCCTCATTGAGAAGAGACATGGATCCAAACAAGCTGGTCCTCAAAAACAAGACATGGATCCAAACAAGCCGGTCCTCACAAGTAGGTAAACCATGTGAGAGGACCGCCTGAATAACGAGGTTTTAACATCACCAAAAATTGGACACATGGAGCCAAACGAGACCTATTCACTTGGAAAAAGAGGAAACATCTCATCAACCAAACAGAGACAAACTCCATACCACAACTATCCAACCATTGGAGAGAGAGAGAAGACTCAGAGAGAAAAAGAGGGCTTAGAGCGAGAGAGGGGATACTAAACCAAAACAAAACGAATCGTTCGCTTCCCCGGCCCCATGGGAAAACGACGCTCTCCCACTGCAACCTTCTATTCCCCTACGAGTGTCGCACTTACCAACGTCTCTCTTCCATATCAATGACACCCACCTTCTCACCCCTTTTTCTTCTTCCTCTTCATTCTCTCTAATTCTCCGTTTCTTTTTACTGACTTCTTCTCTTCCTTAATAGCTTGTAATGAACAATAGGATGCTTCACTCGGACCCTGATCACCATGCACCGAGCTTAGAGGAGGCGCTTGGGCCTTGTCCCATTGAAGAGGTGGAGGAAGGACTGTTCTGTGGGTTTGTTGATGTAGATATGAGCCCAGAGCCTCTGTGTTTCTCAGCTCAGATGATTGCAGCCACAACTGTTACGAAGACTGCTGTTGGTTTGGTCGGTGTCACAAGACGAGTAGCGACCTGCGGAATGTGGTGGTGGCGTTGCTTGGGGTGCAAGTAGTGGGGGTTATGGATTCTCATCGGCAGGGTTGTCGTCTTCTTGTGGTGCGCGAAAGAGGAAGAGAAGCGAGGTAGAGGAAACCAGTGTGGGCAGATTGAGGTCTCCCCGTCTTTGTTCTATTCTCTATATATGCACATGATTGTCGTCTAAAAGCTAC